GCTCAGGTCATGATCCCATGGTCCTGGGATCGAGTCCCGCATCGGGCTCCCTGATCCGCGGGAAGCCTGCTTCTCCCTCCGACCCTCCTCCCTCTCATGCTCTCTGACTCTCCTTCTCTCTGTCTCAAATAAATAAAAATCTTTATAAAAAATAAAAAATAAAAAAATAAAATGCTACAGATTAAACCTCCTAACCCAATTCTTTTCCAAAGAGTTACTGGTATAATGCCTTGAAAAAATTCATTAATTACTTTCCATGAGAAATTTGAATATGCACAATTTAAATGACTCTGGATTCACAATCATAAAATATAAAAATATATGTGCATTTTAACTTTTTATCAACCTTTTTTTTTAGGTGCTCTCGGGTGAGTCAAGTTTTAGGCTAGAGGTACAAAGTCCAAAGTTTAAGCGGCAATTACTTAACTGCCTCCTCTGAGATGATTTAGTCAGTCCCCTAATTCAGCAGTGACCAGTGAGTTGCCTCCAGGGTATACATCATGGTCCTGTGGACCCAGTTTATTAAAGGCTGGCATTCATTTGCCAACACATATTAACCAGTGACTTTGCTCTTCCTTCATGCTCTCCTTCTTCCCCAGTAATTAAAACATGATGAATTCAGATATTGAGGTCCTTGTTGTTTTCAGTGGTTCTTCTTTTGTATCTTTCTTATTGTATTTCTATTGCTTTATTATTAAGGCCTACCCTTTTGCCCCTTGGAAATACTGATCAGAGTGTCCTAACTCTGGAAATATTCACTTCATGCAGGATCAGCTTTTTGCATGGTAATGTTAATATAGGATCCCTGGGAAGGAAGATAGTGGGTGAAAGTAGGCTTAGATTATCTTTAAACATAGGCTGGGTAGGTGTTTGCCTACTTTTGGTGTTTTGATGACTTAGGGAATATCCCTCTACCTACTCCCAAATGTTTCCCCAAATCAATATTTCCGTGGATGTTAGGTACTGAAAAGTCCTGATCAAAAACAGATCGTTATGAATATAGGGAAGGAAACTTTTAACACTTTATTCACACGCCCTGAGCATAATGGGGTGGGGTGCCAAAGTAAGGAGGGGAAAACATGTTGGAAATACCAAGGAAGAAATAAATAGAAATTAAATGGGCATGAAATTTGGGGGGCCCAGTGTATGAAGCTCAGGACTATTTCCTCCTTAGTGGCAGGATCTACTTCTGTTGGGCTCATGTATGCCCAGATTACACAGAGCCAGAGGAAGGTGGCCCCACTGATCTGAAGTCAGGGTTTTAACTGCGTTGATGGCATGCAGTCATTTGGTGAGATAGTGTGGTGGGTAGGGTATAAAACAAGCCTTTACCTGGTTTTAGAGAAACACAATAATTTTTCTTAAAGAGTATTATTTTTTCCAACAATTAATTCATTGATGGAATAAACTTGGTATATCACTAGTCAAATGATCTGTGCTGGTGATACTTTGCTATGTCAGAATTATTTATTTGAAACTGTCAAACTGGCAAATGTTGCCATTTCTCAAATCCTAGCCCACTTTTGTTGGGGCTGAATCATAAGGCATATTTGGAGGTAATTCTGATTCTTTTTTTTTTAAGATTTTATTTATTAATTTGACAGAGAGAGACACAGCAAGAGAGGGAACACAAGCAGGGGGAGTGGGAGAGGGAGAAGCAGGCTTCCCACTGAGCAGGGACCCTGGGATCATGACCTGAGCCGAAGGCAGATGCTTAAAGACTGAGCCACCCAGGCATCCCTTTTGTGCATGTCTTAATTCACATGTCTATTTATGGCAATTAAGAAAATATTGGAATTTTTATTAAATAATTGCAAATTTATTGCTATTTCCTTAAAACAGGTTCAGATTTCATACTAAGAGCTCTAATAAACCATATATCCTTTAAGACACATCTATAGCCTCTTTATATCTATCAATCTATCTATCTATCTTGAAAAGACTTGATTTGTTTTAACCACAAATTCATTTTTCCTTCAAGTGATAAATTCTGTGTTTCTGGTTTTAACTTTTTTTGGGTAATTCAAAATCAACATCTTACTGTAAGTATTTTCCAGGTGTCATACTTCTTAAAAAATTATTCTTCTTTCTAATGTGGGTACCTATGAGTCCCAGGGCCTCCTTCCCTGCATGTTACATGTGGGTTGAAAAATCTCTTATAGAGGTTCATGGGTGTTCTGGTTAAAAAAAGAGAATACTCAAAAGAGACTCCCAGCTGTGGAAAATGAATTACTGACATAAATGTATCTCCCTCATGCCCCCAGTACCTGGTAGCCCAGTGCTTCAGCAGCTGAACGTATTGCAAAGCTGGTTCTGTGACTTGCAATAACTTTTCTCTCAGATAAAAGTAAACAGGAATTAACTACACCTTAGTCCTGTACATATGAGGGAGAGCTGAGCTCCATTTCTCCCAGTTATTTCATTAGATAGATACTGAAATGCGAATGGAAAAAGTTTAGATTACAAAATAAAAAGTCCTGTATGACTAAGTTATAAATATTGTGTGTTATAAATATTGAGGGATAAGTTTATCCTAAGAAAGGAACATATCCTAAGATACGGTATTTGTTTGATTTAAAATATCACACCATATAGTGGATAGTCTGAAATACTAGAATGGACATTGCAACAAACATCTTTTGCCTTATTTTTCCAGAAACCTGGTTTAAAAAAAAAAAAAACTACTAAGCAAAACCTTCCCCTGCTACACAAGGTAATTTCCTGCTTTTTAGCAATAAAATGAGTAATCATTCAAAAGCAAGAAAATGCCCATATTAGGAGACAGTAATGCAAGTGGTACATTGTGATTAACGCTCTAAATTTAACAAATGAACTTCTGACTTTTCTGTTTCTGAGCTGAGTCTTTTAGCTAAAAACATACAATAGATAAAAAAGTATATCTTCTGAATAAGAAGGGATGGGAAAATGCATTAATATCATCCCCATCCCCTTTAATGGCTGCAGAAAGAAACAAATGCTCATAAAGATGTGGCCAAGATCACACCCAGACCTGGCTGTTTTTCAGCCCAAGTGCTTTGTACATTGTCCTTGCATGTTGTGCTTCATTCTGCCCCTGCAGGTTAAGGATCGTGTCTTTCCCAGCCCTGCATGGTAAGTAGTGGATAATTGATTATTGAACCAAACCGTTCAGCAGCATTCAGGCTGTAATTAACCCCTTCCATACTATCTGAGATCATCAGATGCTTAAAGTCATAACCAATTGCCTAATTGCCTGAAAATTGCTTTCCCATGGATCAGCAGGACATGCTCTCCCCCCACCTCATTCAACCACCACCACCACCATTATCACCTCACACTTGTACAGAAGGAGCTGAAACTAATAGGCCACAAGAAATCTTTTATTGTCAAACTGCAGTACTGAGATACTATCAGTTCATTCAGGTTCTATCCTATTTTTAAAAGAGTTTGATTGACTTTAAATGTTCTTTGAACAAACATGTGAGAGAAGAATAGGAGAACCTTTCTAAACAAATACAAATGTCATTAGTTAGGATGCAGTCTGCAAAAGAGTCCAGGGGTGTTTGATTTCATATTTCTGATGAAAAGTGGATGACCAAGTCCCATGCATACAGGCAGACATCTCATATCTAAATGCATAGACATGCTCCTAGGAAGTGGTAAGCAACTTTCTTCCTGACACACACAAAAAAAGCGTGCTTACCCATTTTAAGGAAAAGTAAAACACAGCCCAGGAATATATTCCAGGGGACACAAATTATTTGAGCCCAACATTTTGAGGTGAAGCATTGTTGGGAACAAATTTCAGGTTGGTGCTTTGCTAGTGGCCCTGGAGTCCTTAGGTTGTCTTTGATGATTAAGTCATATGACTAAGAAGACGCTGTGTATAGGAATATTGGGCTCCAGTAGAGGCAGGCCTTGAAGGCCCAGGTTTACTCTGAGCATTGACAGTGGGCATCTGGGAGTCTCCTGACCATGCAGGCCCTTGCCTCCCCACCTGGATAGATAGGATAGACTAGCACATGGCCCACTCAGTTTGAGAGCTAGACTCTAGAACAAACTTGTCCAGAAAGCTTGTACTCCTCTACGTTTCCCAGTGCACTTGTTGCAAAACAAAAGACCCAGATACACTTCTCTGAATCTGGTTAAATAATATTTGGACTTTGAAAAAGTTGCTTTTCGTGAGCAATTATTTCACATATCTTTGAATTTCACAGTTCAATGTAAAACAATAACTTTGTGTATCCCTCTTCGGGGGGCCTCTTTCCTGCCACCCCCACTCCTACCCCCACCCCCACCCCTACCTCTACCCCTCAGACTCTGAAGTGTCACTCATGATGGTTTTGCTTATTATATATGTGTGTGTGTGTGTGTGTGTGTGTGTGTGTGTGTATGTATAACTTGACAGTTTCCAAAACAAACAGTGGACGCTGTGACCAGCCTGGTATTCACTCAGTAGGATGCAACAGCATCTCCCAATCCAAGCGGCCTGAGCAGCTATTGGAGGCAGGTCGGCTCCCTAAAAGACCTGTGCTTGCCAATCTCTGTGCTCTGCCAGGTCCTGGAATCAGCGATTTGAGGACTGATGGTCTGCACATGTCCACTGGGAGGGAGGAAACCACAAAGGGAAGGGAGACTAGGCTCCAGAGGACTTTGGCTAAAGTTTGATCTTCCTCTACTTTCATTCTGTCTATTTAAAGAAAAAAATCACACGCACACACGTGTGTGTGTATATATATACAAATTATACACACATACACTTTTTTTTCGTTGACTATAGATCCAGAATTTTTTTTTTCTAATTTGGGGTTTTTCCTGCTTTCCCTCCCTGCCCTGTCCTCTGCGCCCTCCCTCCCTCTCCCTCCCTAACCCAGCTCAGGTTGAAACTTTGCACTGCACATTCCCTTCACCCCCTCCGGGGATGGCTCTGAGCTCTCGGGCGCTTGCCTTCTCGGTGGAAGCCTTGGTGGGGAGATCCGGGAAAAGAAAATTGCAAGACTCGAGGGAGGAGATGCAGTCTGAGTTGCTGGAAAAAGAGGGCGGAGAGGAGGAGGAGAGAAGGAGCAGAGCCGCAGGGAAGAAGAGCCAGCAGCCCGGTAAGTATTCCTACCGCAGCCCCAAAGCCTTGAGCCTGCTACCCGAGCATGCTGATCTGCAAGTCTCAGCTCCACTCCCAAAGCTGAGAGAGGACTACTAGCCCTACACTAGGACGGTTTGGTCCAGCTGGGTGGCACCGTTTGGGGCCGCGGGGACACCTCGGTCACTTGGCTATAGGGGAAGCGTCAGAGCCTCCAAGTTCAGTCCGTATTGCTGTGTGGTTCATTTGCGGTGAAGGGGAACTTCCCTATATGTTTGTGGAGAAGTTAGACTCTTCAACCTCCCCAAGCCCTGAGAGCCAGACGGTAGCTGTTTCTCCTCCGGGTAGGAAGCAGGCAGGCACTTAGATTCTGAGGGGATTCAGCCTCAGGGTCCAAAAGTCCGGAGAGAGTAAGGATGGGCCAATTTGAAGAAGGACGGTAACTTTCCCAGGACGCGACCTGGGCCCCTTTCTCCCCATCGGAGGGCCACAGTGGGTGTTGTGAGGAACTTGAGTATCTGCCTCCAAATTTCCCAGGGAAGAGACCAGGCCAGTCTGTTCCAAGACAGGCATCACTACGAAGGGGATGCAGGAACTTAGAACCTCTCTCAAACTCTTGGCGTCTCTGTGTCCAGCAGAAAAGCGACCCAAGACTGAGCCCTCAGCAACTGCTTTCTCAGGCTGTAGCGGCAGTGACAGTGACAACAGCTGCAAAAATCTGGAAGAGAAAGATGCTATCCAGGTGGAGCTTCAAGGATCTGAACTGTGGAAGAGATTCCATGACATTGGGACTGAGATGATCATTACCAAGGCTGGCAGGTTTGGTTCTGCCCAAGCTGTTCAAGGGATGCACACAGTAGGAGCCCATAAAATGTGGTGCCTCCAGTTTTATGCTCTGTATCTGTCCTTACCCCTGCCCCCCACAGGCATTGGAAAGTTACTGCCTCTCAATAAATCGCACTATTAGTGGCTCAGCTTTTCTTTCCTGTAGGCAATGACTTCAAGAAATTCTCCTTAAAGCCTCACAGTTATCAGTGGAGGATATGCCATCTAGCAGGTCCCCAGCCTACCATCCCAAGCTAGCCTGGGGCAATTTGAGGTGGGCTTTTCTGCTTTCACCTTTTGATTTGGGGCAGCATCACATCAGTTAGTTAATTTTTTTTTTTTTGCATGAATCTTCCTAATTTTAGTCTTTCCCAAATCTGCCTCACAGAAAGTACCACTGAAAACTCAGGGGTCAGGCACAGTTTTTTCTCTACTTTCTCTTATATAGTTTTTTTATTAATGGTGGTGGTGGGGAGTAGGGTGGAAAAAGCTTTGTGGTAAGAATATTCTGTTCCACTCAGCAATCCTGAACTTGTTCAATCAAGCGTACAACCAACAATCTTTCTTCATGTAGCAAATATCATTCCTTGAATCTGTCCTAGAATGGGGCAGGTACAGTGAATTTCTTCACTTTTCATTTGTCCCCTAACCCCATCCCACTCCAAATATCTCCAAAAGCACTAGGTCAGTGGCTATTTTCTTTCCCACAGGCGGATGTTCCCCTCTGTTCGAGTCAAAGTGAAAGGGCTGGACCCAGGGAAGCAGTACTATGTGGCCATCGACGTGGTGCCAGTAGATTCCAAACGTTATAGGTAACCAGGCCCAAAGGAGGGTACTGCAGGCCAATTCTGGGAATGGGGATTCAGATTTATGGAACATGAGAATGCTATATTGAAAGCTCTACCATAGCGGTGGTATTGCTCTCCTATGGACTTTGGGAGTTGAATATTCTCACTCAAATGGAGGTTCAGACTGAGAAGAGCAGTCTTGCTTCTCTTTCTTCTCACTCCTGGAGCAGGTGCCAGTTGGTGTTTCAGTGTACTCCAAACCCTTTGCTTACCCATTGTTCTGGCCTTGGCTGTGCCAACTGCAGAGGATATGGACTCAGGCAGCTTGGAAGGAAGTTGTTTGAAGGAATTTAGGGAGAAATGACTGTGCTTCTGGTGCTGCACTGGGCTCTGGGCTGTACTACTTTGGCCTCAGGGTCCTGGAGTGATGTCTTGATTTACCATCTAATGCTAATTTAGCAGTTATCGCATTTAGGTCTATCATTTCTTCCTTCCTTAGCTTCTTTCCTGAAGCAGCGGCCAGGTCCTAGAAATTACAAATAACTTTTCATTTTGAAACAGGCTCCCTACTTAAAGCAGGCTAATAGTGGTCGAATTGATCTAAAGTCAAAAGGTCTTACAGTGCTAGCATCCCAGATGCACGGCTATGCCAGCACTTTGGCTTAGAGGCTATGGGGGTTGTGCAGGAGCTGCCCTTACTCGTGCTGTGAGTGTTCCACTGAACTGGATATCTAGCCTTTCTAAGAGAGAGCCCGCATCATGCCCAGTGCTGGATTTGAGGGGCAAAGAGGAAGCGCAGCTCAAGAGCCTACTGGAGCTGCAGCTTGTAAATAGAACAAGTTGTTTGCTTCTTGTGTTTGAGCTGGCTTGGGAATGCAGTGCACAGTTAAGTGGTTGAGATTAGAAACAGGGTAAAAATCAGCCCTGAGGCCTCATGGGCTAGATTTTCATACAGTATTCTGATGTGAAGCCTTGTTGGTGAAAGGGTTTTGAAGGTCACTGGTGGAGGTGGGTTGGACAGACACCCTCCTCACCCTTTTGCTTTCTCTCTGATTCTGATGCTTCTGGCTAGAGACAAGGATTTTTAGTCTGTCTCTGCACAGCAAAGTGGATTAGATCAATTTCTGTTGCTGTTTCTGTGAGGAAATACAAACCAGACTCAAATCCCATGATGTTATACTCACCCTGGAACTTCATTGCATTTTAATAACATATGTTTGTATACAGTTTGCTTTTTGCCCCTGAACTCCCTTTGGAAATAAAGTTGGATCTTCTACTAGTTGCCTTTGGGATTAGCAGGCAAACCTTGGCAAATGCCATTAGAACTGGATCCGGCAGCCTTTCTCCCACACACCTGGCTTTGGCCCATTTCACCTAAAGCCACACTCTGTGCTTTTTTAGGTATGTGTACCACAGCTCACAGTGGATGGTAGCTGGGAATACAGACCACTCATGCATCACTCCCAGGTTCTATGTTCACCCAGACTCGCCCTGCTCTGGAGAGACCTGGATGCGGCAGATCATCAGCTTTGATCGCTTGAAACTCACCAACAATGAGATGGATGACAAAGGCCAAGTAAGTATTTGAAATCCTTTGGACTGAGGAGGGAATGGAGGTGCCAAGGCATCATCAGCTTACATGTCACCCTAGAGAGGTGTGGGATGCTTCTCCCAGATGGTCTTTAGGAACTCTTCAAATTCTGGGCTTGTGACCAAAGTAGCTCCTGTGACCTTTGGCATCTGAGAGTGCTGGGGGTTGGGAATGGTGAGTGAAGGGAGTTTGAAGACCAAATAAGATTTGTTTAAGCCATAATGCCTGGTCTGGGAGTGTGGAAGGGAATGCACTTTGTGGAGCTTTCTTTTGCTTCTCAGCCTACAGGGCAATCACTGTGGGCTCTGATTACCTTCTCCTAGATGAGCACCTTCTGTCTGACATGGTATGACAGAAATCTCCTCCACAACTCACCTTTATGAAAGAGGTTATTTTCAGGTTACCTGGATCTTGAGTCTTCTTCCCATATGCATCCTGCTCCTGCCATGCCTGGCCTGGCCTTGTGCCAGCCACAAAAAAAGAGAAGGAGGCCCCCGGGATTAGGAGGTGGGGTATGTCAGGTGGCTGCCCTTCATTTACCATAAGCCCAGGGAACTTATAACAGGCAGTCAGATCCTAGTTATACTTGGGGACATCACATGGTCACCCACACTTGGAAATAGGAAAGGGCTTCATCTGGAAATGGAATCACCGCTGCCTAATGCTGCTGCAATGCTCCTATCTGGAAACCTCTTAGCCCTGAGCATGTCTGTCCAGAACAAAATGTCACAGAAAAGTCCTTGTGTGTGTAACTAAGCCTTTCTGGTTTAGCCTCACTTTTGCATGTGGGCATGATGGGGATGCCAATGAGATGAAACCGGTGTTGCAGTCGGGAAGCCACTTTCTAGGCAAACATTTGATGATTTCTCCTCCAGATCATTCTGCAGTCTATGCATAAGTACAAGCCCCGTGTGCATGTGATGGAACAGGACAGCAAGGTTGACCTGTTCAGGATTCAGTCCCTGCCCACTGAAGGAGTTAAAACATTCTTCTTTAAAGAAACTGAGTTCACCACAGTGACAGCTTACCAAAACCAGCAGGTAAGGACAACTTGGTCCCAGGAAAGCAGGGCTGGCCCCAGAGGGACTTTCTGGATAGAGGCAAGCTGCACTATATGGATTGAATTTTCCACAATTAAAAAAAAAATAACATAGTCGTATTGCATTGTCATCAAGGCAAGTTTGATTATGAATTGTGTGGATCTTGTATTAGAAAGGAGAGCAGAACAAAGTGCCAGGTGAGAAAGGAGGTAACCATTCCAAATTCAACTTAGCAATATGCTTATATTAGTTGAATGTGCCACATTACACATTGAAGTGTTTTGTGATTGTTATAACCATTAAAAGCAAGGATGACAGTGTTATTACTGAGGACACTGGCTTTATCTTTTTCTTTTTTTTTTAATCCATAGATTACCAAACTGAAAATAGACAGGAATCCTTTTGCGAAAGGATTTAGAGATCCCGGAAGAAACAGGTAAGCAACATTACAATCATATCTAATATTTATATAGTCTTTTTCATAAGTATTACAGATAAGGAAACTGTGGCTCAGAGACTCAGAGGCCTTAAGTTTTCAAACTAGTAGGTAGTAGGAAAGGAATCTAGTGTTTTGTCTGTAAAATCTTGCCTCCTCCTTTTCCCTCTCAACCCACCTTGAAGATATTGCTTATTCTAGATCCCTGAGGCTTTTATTCAGGGAATAATTACTGTGATTTTTATTCAGCAGTATAGCTATAAAAGAAAAATATTTCAGGTATTGACCCCTAAAAACTATAATAAAGTAACTTAAAAGTTTACATAAATCATTATTTTCAGGAATTGAACTCTGGACTTGCTTAAAGTTGAATCTATTTTTCAGGGGTGTATTGGATGGGCTTTTAGAGATCTACCCTTGGAGGCCTTCTCTCACTCTGGATTTTAAAACTTTTGGTGCAGACACACAAAGTAAGAAAAGTTTTATTAATGTTTACTTTTAAGTGTTAATGAAATAACAACAGTCAGAACCTCTGTAGCAAATACTACACAAGGGATAAGTTCATGCCAGAAAATGTGTGTTTACACGAAAGTGAGTTTATATTTATCTTGATGAGGAAGTAAGAGGCAAAAAGAGGGGGGAACTGGCTTGAAGGAAAAGAACAGAGCCATGGCAATGGTGGATTTATTGACTTTAGGCTTCTTAAGTTATCATGTATCCTGAGATCTCCAGATCTCACTTGGATTCTTCAGCATCTCACTATCTCACATTCTTTAGAATCTGCCTATGGTACATTTGTGGCCTTATTTGCAAATATACTGGATATTGAAATAAATATGTTTCTCATGAACTTTCAGCACATGTTAAAATGATATCCATTAAATTTTACCATCACTTAGTTCTAATTTTCCTTTTACTGTAAGTAGGGAAAATAAATGTTGAAAACAACACTAAGTCATCACAATTAGTTTAATTGCCACAAGCATTAAAAATATTTGCAAGAAATTTGTTCTCATGTAGTGCATTACATGATTAAATAATAATAATAATTAGACAATGCAAACTTTCTGGTGGAAAAATGTATACCTTCATGTCTCTGGTGTTTAATAATAAATAAAAGAGTATTTGCAAACAACATAGAATTATTTTACCACTTTTGTCTTTATTCCATTAAAGTTGTTTGTCTTTGAACATTAATGCAAGTTTATAATAGTGGAGAAAATCATCAACATTATAGTTATGTTGAATTTTACATGATACCATAACATTGAAAACAGATCGAGTTTAATCATTTGGTAAAATATTTCACTGGATTGATTGTATTAATTTGGTCTACAAAGTTGCATAGAAAAATGTGAGCACTTTAATAGCATCTAGGCAGCAAGCTTTTAAAATATCCAAGTCAACATGAAGTGCACTAAAAAAAAAAGAAACAAACTAAAGATGATCGTTAATTAATAATTTAGAATACACAGTTTTCTTAATTATCTGAATGTCCAGATTGCTCTCAAATTGCAAAGAAAATGGGTACCATTTTTTAAATAATTTTAGAATGCTTAATTATAAAAGATATTTGCCACCTTGTTAATAAAGAATTAGGCTACGCCTACACAAAATAGTTAAGAAAAACAACAACAACACAAAGAAAAAAGGAAACCCACAAAAAAACTTGATCAAGTTTAGTCAATAACCAAATTTTTAAAATTCAAACACGAAAATAAGATGGAAAGTCTAGATTATCCTGGACCTTATAATTAATTATCCTTAACTTTAGTAGATGCTTGGCAAACATAAAAATCACCTGACAACATTATGATGAACTTTCATCTTTATTTTGATATTTTTAAACTAAAAATTGTCTTTAACAAATGCACTTAAATATCATTTTAGTTTATAAAGATTATTTTCATGCGTTCCAATATTTTTATCAGACTGAAGCTTTCTACAGGATCTCAACCAATTTGTTCAATTTAATCAAATACTCATTTTTGTAAATTTTTTAAAGTTTAAAAACTATTTTTTTAACTTGTAAGATATAATTGGCTCTAGGTACTATTTATTTGGGCATCTTTTGTAATTCATTGGATAAATGTCCAAGTGCCTAGCACAGATCTTGTGCATGGTGAATGCTCAATACATGATACATAATGGTAGTGTTAAAAGTAATAGTGGTAGTAGTAAAGGTATTCTTTTCAACTTTGGTCAGAGGAATGAACATATTCTTTCCCAAAGAAGTTAAAAGAACTGTGAACTCCCAGAAGAGAATGAAGCATGTTTATGGTCATTAGTACTCATTCATTAGGAACATCAATTTCATTGTTCATTGACTGGATTGTCATTCACAGGTGGAAGCAGTGGCTCATCTCCAGTGACCTCTAGTGGAGGGGCTCCCTCTCCTTTGAACTCCTTGCTTTTTCCACCCTGCTCTCTGCCTACATTTCACTTACCTACAAGCTCCCTTGGAACGCCCTGTCCAGAGGTGTATCTGCACAATATCAACCTGCCCCTTTGCTACAAGATTTGCCCAACTAATTTTTGGCGACAGCAGCCTCTTGTCTTGCCTTCTCCTGAAAGACTAGCAAGCAGCAACAGTTCTCAGTGTTTAGCCCCACTCATGATGGAAGTTTCCATGTTATCTTCTCTGGGGATCACCAATTCAAAAAATGGTTCATTTGAAGACTTAAGTGAGCAGTGTCTACAGGCACCTAATTCTTCCAATCAAATGTTGTATGGACTACAGCCACCTGGAAGTATTTTATCACCAAATCCCATTGCCCAGGAAGCAATTGGTTGTTCTTTCCATCCTTCCTATGGTTTTTATAGGTATAACTTCTCAGTGCCATCTAGACTGGTAAATGTTGCCAACCATCTCAAAGTCAAAGTGAATGACAATAGCCAAGTTTCTTTTAGAGAAGGCAAATGCACTCATGCTCATTGGTATCCAACAATCAATCATTACCTTTAATGGAATAATCACATTCCTAAAACAATTACACATAAGCATGTATTTTCTTTATTTGTAGCCAAAGAAAGGTTAAGAGCTGTTTGGTTTTAAAAGCTTTATTATTAGAGGTATTTCTCTGTTACACATTTAAAGTGCCTTATTAGATGGTCATAAGAAGTTGTTATAGGTCAAATATGACCTGTAACAATCTCTGATTACAGTGGCCTTGGGCCTCAAAATAAGATAGTCAATAAATATTATTTGATGAGATAGAAAATTGACTCCAGATGAAACCTTTAATTATAGCGAAGTCAGTTTACCATGTCAACTGCCTCTTACATATTGACAATGACCAAAAGAAGTTGGATTTAATTCCTGTGAAAGCAATGAAACAATTTTAGTTTTATCCATGAATATTATATTCATTGTAATTTTCTAGTAATTGTAGAAAAAAATCATTGTTCATTTGTCTTATACTTTACTGTTGAAGAAGCTACTAATCTCAATTTTAAGGTACAAATAAGGACACAAATTTTCAAATATTAATTGTTTCAGCCTAAAGATCATTTAATCCTGAAGGAAAACAAAGATTAAATGAAAAACAAAATATTCTAAATAAATTTGATCTTTCATTTCCTTTTATTTTTGGATCATTCCCAGGTGAAGCTTATTTACTTATTCCTTTAACAAACCTGGTGTTTTGTACAGTTTTCAAAAACAAATTATTGTAGTTCTCCTAAAAGACTAATAAATTATTATTTTAAGGGAGATAATATTTTGGGTCCATGAATATGAAAATATCATTACATTTGTACTGTTTAATTCCACTCCTGTGAGTCAGTCATGGTAAATTGGACTAGACAAAAAGTAGCATAAATGAGATTTTATTTTAGTTTATGAAGTTGAAATGTTTCCTTTCACCTGGTCCTAAATTTTCTGAAAAAAAAATGTTAAGTATAACTTACGTATAACTTGTATGTCTTTAAAATAAATCAAATTTAAATTTTTATGCCACTAGCTCTACAATTTATTAAGCCAAGGTGCTTCACATCACAATGATATGGCTTGACTTTTCTCAAACTAACCAAACTTCTAAACTGCCTTTTCTGTTTCCAACACATATTAGCAAGAGCATATTATTATTTAATTTTTCTCAAAATGGTTATTCCCTCTTAAGTGTACCTTATAAATGTGCTATTCCTATATATGCATTAAGATTATATTCCTCTTCACTTCTGGGAATAGGGACAGAACAGCACATGGTTACATTTAAACTGAATATTCTAGTCAAGATGAAATATTATTTGTAGCCCAAATTAATTAGATACCTGTTATAAAAGTCTTTGAGGCAGGAAATCTGTACTACCCAGGGTTTATCTGTACTAAACCTGGGTTTATCAAATTGGGGATTAAAGCAGCAAGTATACTTTATTTCTGTCTACTCCAAAACAGGTTACTGTTAAAATAAACTACAATTTTTTAAAGCAGAAACTCCCGTATCAAAGTATAATGAAACTTAGTCTGATGGCTTATATGGCAGATACTTGGTAATTAATAACAAAGTATTTAACTGAAAAATCCAGAAAATCTCCGGGTTACTTTTTAATAATTATTTAAGAGAAGGCACTAATTTTGTATCCATTCAAATATATGTAGCCCATGATTTATATTTCATATAATTTTGTTATATATTAGCCATTTAAAATTGATAATACAGAAATATATTGGTAAAGATGATTAATATAAAAGGGTAAAAGTTTAAATGTTAGAATCTAAACATCTATTTTAAACTGTTTTTGTATAATGCTTATAAATTGTCATTTCATACTTTCAATTGAATAAGTAACCAAGGGAAAGGCTTCATTGAAAATTAGACTTGGAAGAGACCTCAAGAAGTTCAGTAAGCAGTTCCCTGCTTTCTCAACAAGTTCCTTATCTGCAGGAAGCTGCTAACAACTTTAATTGATGCATAATTAATATTTAGTGTCCTTACTATTTTATGCTGAATAAATTCTTACTCCTTAATAAGATAGTGTGAAACTTGAGTAACTTGGTAAATTGAGGCTATGGTTATGGAATAAAAACCAAAATCTGTGGAATCCTATTAATTTCAACTGAATCAACTAAATATTAATCTTGATTTAAAAACCTACAAAAATCAAAAGCCACTCTTGGTTAGACAAGGTGTGAAATAGTTAGCAAATGAAAGTAGCCAAATGATACTTAATAGATACCCAAGTCTAATAACCTAAACTGCTATTTCCATTTGGTTTTTTAAATTTTATTATGTTATGTTAATCACCATACATTACATCATTAGTTTTTTTTTTTTTTTAAGATTTTATTTATTTATTTGACAGGGAGAGACAGCCAGAGAGAGAACACAAGCAGGGTAAGTGGGAGAGAGAGAAGCAGGCTTCCCGCCGAGCAGGGAGCCCGATGCAGGGCTCGATCCCAGGACCCTGG